GCCTCGTCAAATGAAGACTTTCATATGGATGCCATGCATGGTGCCAAATCCGTTCAAAAATATCTATACAACCGCTTTCTCAGATCAATGGTTTAAAATGGCTTTGAGTGAGCGAGGGCTGAGGCAAAGATAATCATTCGTCGAAACTTGTGGACTGGTGCTACAGAATCACAAACAAAAACTGTACCAGATAACAGAAACTACATCACTAGAGGACATTCATCAGTGGTAACAGCTAAAATGGATAGCACATGTAACTCAAAGAGAAAATAATGACCTAATCAAGATGTTAACGTTTCACATTATACTTCAAGTAAAAAGTTAGGAAGGAAACCTTCATCAACACCGGAAAGAGCAATAACAGCTACTGGACTTTAAAAACACATTTTCCTGAAAAATTGTTTCAAGAGAAAGATTTTATAAATTTCAACCGCCATCAACACTGAGTGGCTGGTCACTGAATGCCGAATGTTTCCTTATAAGGAAACAACTAATACTAACATTTATTGTCGTCATTTTACTTATTTTTACTCCACACAAACATTAAAAAATCATTCATAAAACAAACGCATCAAATTACGATGAATTTAATTTTTTTTTAATTCATTTCGCCAATTCTTTTTTTACGGGTTTATTAAGGAATAAATAAAGAAATAAAGAACATTATGTTGTTCGCAATTTGGTAATACACTCTTCAATGAAGCAGTTTTGAAGAAAATGCAACATTTTAACGCAATTTTTTTCTATTTTTTAAGAACATTTAAAATGTTGCAATTTCTTAAAAACTGCGCATTCTCGCTGCAGTGTCTTTGAAGTATTATTACCAATTGCGTACAAAATAATGAACTTCCTATATTTATTTATTTTTGAATACACTCGTCAAAGATATCAGTATTCTTTTTATAACTGGTGGTTAATCATCACTCAACGGCAGTTTTTCTTTCATTTCAAAATTAACCTTTCTATTAAAAAAAAACAAATAAAAAACAAATAAAAAACAAATAAAAAAACAAATATCATGTATGTAAATTTTGTGTTTGAATCGATAGCTCCTCCCAAATCTTATTTCCAACTGATTGACTATAACGTTTTTTAATCGATATTATTTACGTTCACTTTCAAACGATGTTTACTGTTTGTTTGTCTTTTTATTCCAGTCCTTTTGTTCATTAATGATGTCACTTTTGTGAAGCCATTATAATAAAAAGGCATGAGAAACATTGGACGGCAATTTGGGCAGGGAAAAAGAAAATAAACTGAAAACAATACCAATCAATCTTTAGAAAAATACATTTTAACGTTCATATAGCAATAGATTCAATAGATTCAATTTTATCCCCATTTGCTGTCGCTAATGAGGCTAAACATCACACGAAAGTAGTTTTCTTTAATTAACCTCTTCCAAAAAGTAAGAATCTTCACATTATCATTATCAAAATTTTATATTTCTTTAATTAAAATCGATTTACTGCTTATACACAAAAAATATAATATCTCTAATTAACTGAATATAAACATTTTTAAATCGATATTATTACTTATATTCTCTTTTATTGTTTTATGTCTATTTTTTATTCCGGCCCTTGTTTATTAATGTGTCACTCTTTTGACGCCCTTGTGAGAAAAAAAAAATGACATATGAACAGCACTGGACAAAGGGATAAAAAAAAAAGAAGCTATTTCGTGTTCGTTAAGAAAATAGATTCATAAATGAACGCTAAAGGAACGAAGAAACTGGTTGGAATTATGTTTCTATATTGGCACATTTATTAATGATGGTGAAAGATAAGTTGATTTCTCGGGAGTCTAATCGTGAGGCAATACTCAGCAAAATAATATGTCGGATTGTGACTATTTTACTGTGAATTCGGTCCGCATTCAGGTGAATCTCCTAATAAAGACAATAGACAAAGAGAATGACAAATTAATTATAAAACACATTTCTATACATATATTATATCTCCTCAAAATCAATTACCATGTTTATGTGAAATGAAAATAATTTGGGGAAAAAATTGATTTTATCAAAGTTTTTTTTTCTAAGAATAAGATCGATTTGCTTGTTTGAGATTTTATATAAAAAATTAATCATTAATTTTTTAAATTAAGCATTGAAATCTTTGACACGTGAACTTAGCGAAGTTTTATTGAAGTTCAGAAGAAGTAAAAAATACATTTAATGATGTTCAGAAGCAGTAAAACTACTTTTAATAAAGTTCAGAAGCAATAAAACTACTTTTAATGACGTTCAGAAGAAGTAAAAACTACTTTTAATGGAGTTCAGAAATAAAAGAATATGAAAGGAATGAAGATGAGACGCCGTGACACAGTGTACACGTGGCATAACGGGTCCTAGCTGAGAAGGTCTGAAATGAGGGAACTAAAGAATACAGCTCGTTTGAATATTTGCCGTAGTAATATCAATAGAGTAGTTAGAAGCTAGCAACGTTTCGCTTATGTGAAAGGGATTGCAGGGTGGATAATAATTCAACACTCATAAGTCCGTGTCATCTTTTTTGAACTGGACAGTGATGACTGAACATCACCAGCCCAGATATGACAGCAATATTCCATTCTTTGTCAGATCTGGCTCTTGTAAACAGCCTAGCAGTAAGGGCTTAGGTATTTTTCTGGAACGATTCAAAGAATCAGCCATTCTTCCAGCATTTTTTCGCGATAGCACCGAATACACCCGCTCGATTTGAGTTTGGGAGTGAATTTTAATCCCAATAAACGTTTGAGGAAAAGAGGCTCGCTCATCAAGACTGGATTTCATTTAAAGTTCGCTTGGTAGTGAGGAAAATTTAAGAGTTTTTTTTAATTATGGCGATCTGGGTTAGCAAACAAATGCCTATGATTCAATCTACATTGTTGGTTGATTCATTTTCTACGGCTTATCAACACTTTGCAGGCTATTTTAAACCAGAAAATATTTTTAGACTGTAAGAATTTTCTTTTTGAAATAATATTTGTTTAGTTATACAAGTTTTACTAATTAACCCATTGCTGGTGGGAGAAGAGGTGGATTCATACCTTTCCTAAGAGTATTTACACGTAAGTGAATATAACGAACCCAACGGGAATTGGAACTCGGCTCTCCGATTAACAATTCCGATCCATTATCCATTACACCACCCGCACATCCAGGCTTACAGCGCCTTGTATTTCCAAGCAGTCTCTCATCTAGATACTGATCAGGCTCAACGTTGCTTAATTTCGGTGATCGTTCAGTGATCCGTGTTTCAACGTGATATGACCTTAAGCTTCTTGCGCTGATTGGAAGTCTGATTACGAAGCAATTCGCATTATAAAGAATGCTGTCGGATTTCTTTTTGTTTTATTTTGTTTCTTTTTGTTTTGTTTTGTTTTTTTGTTTTGTTTTGTTTTGTTTTTTCAAAATGAATCTATTAATTATCGATCTACCCTTAAAGAACCTCATTGACATTGCGGTAAAAAAAAGTGTATTTCCCCTTTTATTTGATCCTCTTGCGACCACGCCCAGTTGGTTAATCAGTGTTACGTGAAAAAGAAATCAGAAAAAAAATACAACTGGTTATTTGTAGGCACAATAGTCTCTGAATAGTCACATATTGTTATTCTTCTGTAAGAAGATCCTTAAGTCATCAACATTCACTTACCAAACTGACCAGGGTACTTCTTCCGAGATATCACCATAACTAGTAATTAAAAGAGAAATAAAAGAGGAGAGACGTCGTTTTTAACAAGCCATCGATCCTTTGTCAATTCAATATTTATTGAATGTTCGCTTTTAGTTTGACTATGAGTTTATTTCATCAAGCAGAATGTGTACCGACAAATAATGCTGGGGTAAAACATTGATTTTAGACAATATCCGGTTATAAATATATCAACGACGTTGATTTTTATTCGAAAATAGGCAAAGTTTTGCACTTAAATAAGTTGAACAGATAAAAGCGATTTTTAAATTGTATGGTTTCCTTTACGAAGACGTATTCTCTCGCACCTTAGTCCATTTAAAGATTGCCCATACTCTGCTAATATTCTATTGCAAGTAGATGAGCTATATAAGTAACAAAGAAATCCGCCCTGATAAATATCAGTATACCAGTCCAAGTTACAATTAGTATAAAAATAATACAATTAGTATAATAAACTTCTAATGTGGTCATTTAAAACTGCAGTTCATTTATTTTTTTCATAACAAATACTTTGTAAGTCAATTTTTATGAATGTTACTTTTTATAGTATTATTTCAAATGTTGGAGCTGGTATTTTTACTTTGACTAAGATCTGGTGTCAAGGCTAGTACTTATTTACTTTTAAGAGATACAATTTTTAAGTTTTTTTTGTAAATTTCCGCAAATCAACAGAAATTCTTTGAAAATTCTCTTTTTGTACTTCGTCTGTATGTTCCTATTCTTATTTTACATGATCAGTCAGTTAGTTATGTGCCATGCGTGATACACGCATAGGCGATCATGATATATGACTGACGAGGCAGATTTTTTCCCGTAGTGGGTTGCCATTTTTTCTGCGGTAGAAAAAGCTATCCTGCTATTTACCTATAGCTGGGGGGGTTGTAGAAGAAGAGTATTCAAATCCTTTCCCAAGGGTATTAGACTGGAATTCGAACTCGGCCCTCCAATTCATTAACCCGGGCCGCTATCCATTACTCCACCGTGCCTCATATTTACAGGAGAGTTAAATTAATTATAAAATTCTGAATATTACTACAGTGACACTTAATCAACGCAAATTTGATCATTGGGGCTTACCATAGATCTAAGTGTGAAATTCCCCGATATTGAAATTTCAACTAAGCCAATTAAAAAGGGAATAAATAAAAAAATCAACACAATATGTTAACAAACCAAGAGTAATTACATCTGTTCCGAACTCAATCTACAACATGGAACCCTTACCAAGCTTTCCACCGACATCTGTTCTGAACTCAATCTACAACAGGGACCTCCTCACCAAGCTTTCCACCCACATCTGTTCCGAACTCAATCTACAACATGGACCACTCACCAAGCTTTCCACCGACATCTGTTCCGAACTCAATCTACAACATGGACCACTCACCAAGCTTTCCACCCACATCTGTTCCGAACTCAATCTACAACATGGAACCCTTACCAAGCTTTCCACCGACATCTGTCCCGAACTCAATCTACAATAGGGACCCCCTCACCAAGCGTTCCACCCACATCTGTTCCGAACTCAATCTACAACATGGACCACTCACCAAGCTTTCCACCGACATCTGTTCCGAACTCAATCTACAACAGGGACCTCCTCACCAAGCTTTCCACCCACATCTGTTCCGAACTCAATCTACAACAGGGACCCCCTCACCAAGCGTTCCACCCACATCTGTTCCGAACTCAATCTACAACATGGACCACCTCACCAAGCTTTCCACCCACATCTGTTCCGAACTCAATTTACAACATGGAACTCTTACCAAGCTTTCCACCCACATCTGTTCCGAACTCAATCTACAACATGGAACCCTTACCAAGCTTTCCACCGACATCTGTTCCGAACTCAATCTACAAGAGGGACCTCCTCACCAAGCGTTCCACCCACATCTGTTCCGAACTCAATCTACAACATGGACCACTCACCAAGCTTTCCACCGACATCTGTTCCGAACTCAATCTACAACATAGACCCCTCACCAAGCTTTCCGCCGACATCTGTTCCGAACTCAATTTACCACAGGGATCTCCTCACCAAGCTTTCCACCCACATCTGTTCCGAACTCAATCTACAACATGGAACCCTTACCAAGCTTTCCACCCACATCTATTCCGAACTCAATTTACAACATGGACCCCTCACCAAGCTTTCCGCCGACTTCTGTTCCGAACTCAATCTACAACATGGACCCCTCACCAAGCTTTCCACTGAGCGACCAATGAATACTCAACATTGCTCCCCCGTCTTCTAATTCGCGTTGGCGCGCAGCTAAAACAGGGCACGGTACGTTAAAAAAAGCTCCCAAGGAAACGAAAGATGAAAACAAACGCCACGTCGAGAAACGAAGATTCAAACGCCCTTTTTTCAATATATGTACCGTGTTTTATTCTGGGCTTCACTTACTCGGTCTGAGCGGGTCTGTAGGACAACTTCTGCCCTGTCGTGCTAATAGATCAGCTCTTCCTTTCGACTCTCCCTCCTACCAACTCTCCGTTCATCTCAACATCACGACGCGTGGCTGGCAACACAAACGGGCGACATCAGAACTACCCGAGTAACAGTTTTCCTCCTATTAAGAGCGAACCAGGACTCACTACCTTAATCCCAACTGTGACAATTAATATAGCTTTGTGGCTGGATATTCTCAATATCCAGCTTCATTGTCACTTGACCCCAGAAGTTTTCTTTTATTTACTTATTCATTTGTTTTCTTTCGGTCAAGTGGATACAATTTTGAAGACCTGACATCAAAGACCATAAAACTCAAAACACTTGAGATTGAGATGAAATGACACCTTCCTCTTTTAATGTGGCTGTCCCAAACATACTGTCACATTTTAAAATATTTAAAACATATTACAATATTACTATTGATAGAGTAAAAATTCTTATTATAATAATTTAAGGTATTTTCTTAAAATATTATATTTATAGTGCGTTAGTGTGTTAAAAAGAAAGAAGATTTTATTACAGTAGTTATTATCATGCTAAATGATTCTGGGTTTATAAAACAAAAAACATGAATCATAAAGTTCATATTTTATTTGACGGCTTTTATTTCAGCAGATTTTCAACTAATTCTGATACATTGAATACCTAAAAGAAAGAAAAAAGTAAGTTAACTTTGACAATCATTGGCTTATATGAAAAAAAAAAAAACAACAAAATATCACGGACACAATTCGACAGCGCAATAATTAAATGGTGTTGACAATTTAAAAAAAAATTTATACCAACTTTTAAAATTATTTCCATGCAAAAATTCACCCAGTACAAGGTCCAAGAGTCACTCAAGGTAGATTTTTTTTAATCATTTCACCTCAGGCAAGGCAATAAAGCCACTAAGATGCAAGGAATTAGTGGGTGCTAGAGAATATGCGAAAAATAATATAGTATTAAGGAGAGAGGACAATAAAAGAACAAGATTTAAGAAGAGAAGATAGCGATTAACATTGCATTTAAAATTTTGAGGATCAATTTTGACTGGGAAGCAAGATGTCAGAAGAGAGTTCCACAGGCGAGAAGTGTGAGAGAAGAAACTTTTAGCATAGAACTTACGGTTACATCTAGCCATTTCAACTGTAAAATAATGGGACCTTACCGCCAATCTAGTACTGCACTTAAATTCATAAAGTCTAGGTACCATAGAGGAAGGTTCATCCGAACAATGACCATGAAAGTATTTATAGAAAAGGCACAGGGAAATTACGTTACGGTGATTATGATGGCTGAGGTGTGGTATGAGCAGGTGGTAGCAAGTGAGGATAGATAACGATTAACACTTGGTTTGAAGAGGTTAGGATTTTATTGTTCAGGGAAGTACCCGCGCCGAAGTTTGTTTCACAAAGTATCAGTTATTTGGGAAAAGCAGGCTAAGTGAAACGTTTTCCTTAAAATTGGAATACGAGGGAAATGATATTGATTCAACTCTGTGGAACTAGCATGGTGTATTTTAGCAGTAAAGAGGTCAATTGGTGGAACTAAACACGGAGAGCTCACCTGGGCATTTCTCATTGAAATAGCGATCGAGTAGCAATAGGCTTTCAACGTTGTGTCTGCGGGGAAATAGGCTACAAAGTGGAGATCTCTCCCTGACAGACAACAAAAATGCGTAAATGATTTTTAGCTCTACCAAGGCTAGAAGGTAGGTATATTTGGAGTTCAGAATCAGCTTAATGAACTAGCTTAAATTGGCAACAAACATTGTAATTCATCAATTGTACTCAGTTCTTTTGTGAATCAGGCTGGACACGGGAAAGTATAAAAAGCGAGGTTATTGAAAACAATGATTGCATTGGATAACTTACTGAAGCAAAGAACGTTCTATCACAACACTGAGCCTCCATAAATAACTCTACAAATTCTAATATCTTTTCTCTGTAAGGTTTAGAGTTAGACTTTTGAGTACATTAACATCGTTTCATAGAACGGTTACGAATTTTTTTTCTTTGTTGTTCATCATTATTGATCTGACAGCATTGACAAGGCTCTCTCTCTCTCTCCATCCGTTTTCTCACATATTCGTGTTTGGCGATTTTAACGCCCATCATACTAAGTGGCTCAAAAACGCTACTACTAACCTGCAGGCATTCAAACCCTAAATTTTTCAATTTCTCAATTTCTCACGCAGATAGTCGACTTCCCCACACGTTTCCCCTACAACCGGGACGGTAAGGCTTCTCGATCTATGTTTTACTTCCATCCCCGAGTCCTGTAGCGCCAATCAGCTTTGCCATCTTAGCAATTCTGATCAAGCTGTAGTATCTATCAACATCTCCTTCAACTCCACACCCTACAAAGAACCTACTACCACTAGAACCTCGTTCTGCTATCAACGAGCAGACTAGGACTCGTTCCGGGATTTTTTCGCGATGTCCCCTGGGATGTTGTCTTTACGCTCCATGTCCAAGAATGTGCTTTCGAGGTCTCCTCCTGGGTTAAAGCTGGAATCGAGTCTTTCGTCCCCTCAAGGAAATATAAGGTCAAATCGCGCTCCTTCCCTTGGTTTTCCGCTGTTTGCTCAGCTGCCATCGCCCATAGGAACCACTTCTTCCACCTATATCGAAGTGACATGTCTGACTGCAATAGACGTCTCTTTGTCTCTGTGCCCGTAACGAGTGTAAGCGTGTCCTCAATGAAGCAAATCACTATTTGCTGCACGAATGAAAGAACGCATTGCATCTCGCAAATTCAGCTCCAAGGATTATTGGCGTCTCTGTAAGAGCGTACTTAACAATAGCAAACCCTCTATAACTCCTTTGTTCAACCAGTTCGATGTTCTGACCTCTTCTGCCGACAAGGCTGAATGCTTTGCTCGGAAATTCTCATTCAATTCAACGCTCGACTCTTCCAGAGTATCCACACCCGATTCCCCACTTAAAACTGAGGCTCTATTGAGCGAGGTGCACATTGCCCCGTCATCGGTATTGGGCATTATCTCTAATTTAGATCCTCACAAGGCTAGTGGTGGAGATGGGATACCAGCCATTGTCCTGAAGAAATGTGCGCCTGAACTGGCCCCTGCCCTCTCCAAATTATATAACTACTGCCTCAATGAATCTTGTTTTCCTGACTTGGAAGTCCTCATTCATTCTTCCTGTCTTTAAGAACTCTGGTGACCCTTCTGACCCTTCTAATTCTTCCTTCCTATCAGTCTCCTACCCCCTCTTCGGCAAAGTCTTCGAAGCTTTAACCAACACCGAAGTGGTTAAGCACCTTACATCCCATAATCTGCTCTCTGACAAGCAATATGGTTTCCGCTTTGCCCGTTCTACAGCTGATGTGCTTACAATCATTCCTGTCAAATCGTGTATTGAAGGTCGTTCTCAACAGATTCTCCTCCAGCTCCTATCCCACAAACACAGGTGTTCCCCAAGGCTCCATCCTAGGCCCTACTCTGTTCCTTATCTTCATCAACGATCTTCCTGACGTCATAGATTCCCAAGTAGGCATCTACGCAGACGACACTACAATTTACTCCTGCCTCAAAAACAAATCTAGTGCCGCTGACAAAACTAACCTGGCCATTCGTCTCGAAAAGGACCTCCAATCGGTTGTGAACTGGGGCAGGAATTGGCTGGTTAACTTTAATTCCTCAAAAACAAAACTGCTCTCTATTAGTCATCACAGAGAACCATCCCTTTCCCCCATTAGAATGTCTGACGCTCAACTTCTCGAGAGCTCCTCTTTGCGACTACTTGAGATGGAACAGATACATTGAGTCAATTGCTTCGTCCACCGCAAGGAAAATTGGCTCCCTGTGCTGCGCCAGGAAATTTTTCTCGACGGAGTCGAGCCTTCAAATCTACAAATCGCCCTTGCATGGAGTATTGCTGCCATATATGGTCTGGTGCCCCTTCTGTTTGTCTCAAGGTTCTTGATAAGATCTAGAGACGGATATGCAATGTAATTGGTCCTGATCTGGCATCTCGTCTGCAGTCGATCTATCACAGACGTGCCGTCCGCTCCCTCTGTCTTTTTTACAAATACTTTCATGGTAACTGCTCCGATGAGCTGCTTTCGCTGGTTCCCAGACTTCATGAATTTAAGCGTTCTACTAGGCTGGCATCTCACTCACACCCTTTTACTGTCAAAACTGTAGCCGTCTCTTCTACTCCAATAGCTTCATGTCTCGCACCTCTCGCCTGTGGAACGCCCTCTCCATTTCTTGTTTTCCTGATAGCTATAATCTCCAACTATTCAAATGTAACATCAATCGATGTCTCCAGATGCCCTGATCTATCCCCTATCCTTCTCTTCATCCTTTTCTCTATCTCTCCTATTTGGTCTCACTCCAATTCTCTGTAACCCCTCGTGTGCTAGTGGCTTCCCGCCTCGCTTGGGGTGAAAGGCTTAAAAAAAATAACAAAAATGATTCATTCCCTTTACATGAAATCAGATTTTAAAGATAGTAACATTTGATAAAAATAAAATATCAAAAAGTTATTTTCTTTACGTTAGAAATTATTCG